ATGATACTTGATTTATATTGTCTTGCCAAAGCTTCAGACAATTAAGGGGAAAACTGTTCCGAGACTTATTACATTGACAAAATTCTGGTACAGCTAACAGCAATATGATTCACACAAGGATTGCCTGGCATGTAAAGCTCGCTTTAACAGATACCAATGTGACATACATAAAGCTGTCAGGCTTTCTCTAAAGGACAGTCATCCACTTCATGTTTCAAGTGCCAAATTAATTATATTTGACATATAATTTATAACCTAAGGTATTTTAGGTTTGGAACTTGACTATGATAACAGCAGATTAGAGCAGCACTCCGTTTGACAGAATCGATTTTTCAAGTTATTTTCCTTGTGTGTGAGGGTCTTGATTCAGGTTTTTGTCTGTCGAGCTTGCGCACAGGACACTGATACCTCTAAGCAAAGTAGGCTTCGTTCGCATCCTCCCCCAGCCATTCCGTGGTGAATTATTTTGCGCTTTGAAGCAAGTTTCTTCTGCAGTCTTAATCACAAAGCTCCACCTAATGGAACGAGGGGAGAACTGTGCACAGAAAAAGAAAGGGAGAGAGACACTACTAAACACAGTTAGCAAGGGAAAACTGCTACACAACCGTAAGCAGTTCATCTCCTCCACCTAATTTACAAAGTCTCCCCTTCCAAGGACTTTAACACTTTGAGGTGGGAGGAAAGCCAAAAAAAAAAAAGCTTTATCTTCTCATCTGACTGAAATGGTAACCTTCTTTTTATTGTTACTGAGAGACATTTCAATCCATCAACATTAATATTTCACACTGATATGTCTCACCTTCTAGGTTCCAAAGCATTTAAAAAGTGTAAATACATAAAATAACCTGTAAATGTAGATATGTATTTACTGATAGATGGTGCATTATTGAAAGTGAAATCTTTCAACAGCGAAACAACCAAATAGCTTTTTTAAAAACTGGCAAAACATTTCTATCAATTTGCACACTGAAAATGAAGGCTTTCTATACAATTTTAGATCATGCATTGATGTCACACTGGAACACAGCTTTCAACACTTGCATTTCAAAATATTGCTGCCGGAAAAGAGCTGAAGAATTAAAAAACTTTGCAAACAGCAATGCCAGTTTCAAGGCATAACGATTTTTTTTTTTTAAATGAAGATGCTGTGCTGCTGTTAATATGAAAGATCGGGCAAATTCCTGTTAAAAATCCACTCACAATTTCAGAATTGCTCCCCACTCAGAGGAAAGCTCCATGGCCACTTTCAGACTTTTTCTGCAACAGAAGGTACAAATCTAAATGTCACCTTGTATCAAGATAAAGCTTTTCACTGAAGAACCAGGGCATTTGTCAGGATCATCTTATTTAAGATGACTAACGCAGTGACAGCCCTGAGTCTGTATGTTGAAATTGTCAGTAGTAGGACAGGACTAGCTCCTTGTTTTTAGCAAAAATACTAGTTTGGTATTTAGTAGTCTTCTATCAAGATTTGCACTTTGATGTTCTACACAAATAGACCTGCCAATCTAAAACTGATTTTATTTCTAACATTTATGATCAGATGTGGAGGTATGACATCCCCAGCAGGATATTTGCAATTCGAGAGGTGATTAAGTCGTGTCTTTAACAAACCTCAAGTAGGCTAACGTGCAGTTAGATCAGGCTGTGTTAAGTAACTGAGGTAAATTTGCTGAATCAGAATGAGGGAGCAGAGGAACGGGGCTGCATATGCTAGGAATGTATATACTAGAAAAAGGATATAATATCGGTTAAAACCAGCCCTGTGGTCCGGCGTGAATATGCCACGTAGCCCAGTCCTGTGGTCTGCTGCAGCCAAGGTTACTCAAGATGATAAAGAGGGACCCACCTCCTGTGGTCTACCACAGGCAAGGTTACTCAAGATGATAAAGAGGGACCCGCGGCCTTCCTTCAAAACAACCCCTAACGACCACCATTGCGCACGCTCAAGAGGAGGAACACCTGCTTGAAGAAAATTTAAATACGAGACGAACAAGGGGTGATGAATATTAATGTAATAGTTGTGAAACATGATAAATATGTAAACTAGCTCTGTATAAATAAAGGCCAAAAGGATGTGACCTGGCGCGCCTAGGTGGAGCTGCGACTCCCCGGCCGCCCAGCGCTGCTTTTGCTCCTTCACTTTAAATAAACCCTTGATTGGACTTATGAAGTAGTGGTCTCAGTGTTTGACCATAACAAGGCTATTTCACGGCCAGCTCAGATTTTGTGGGTTTTATCTCTCAACTTCACCGCTGTCATTAACCACGGTTCATTAACGTGCTTTTCTTAACCCTGCTTCTACCCTCCTCTTCCTTCGATGCCCCCATGTGTAACGGCTCGGTCCTGCGCCATCTTCCTTCCTTCATTTCACAAAATCGCCAATAATGCGCCTCGCTCTCAGACTTCCAGCTTCTCTGCTAAATTTGGCTACGCTTGGACAAGCAGCCCAAAATGTAGGGGGTGAAGGCAGGCAGGACGGGTGAAGGGATGGCTGGGCGGCGGCGTGTCAGCCTCGGCCT